TACTAGTACTGTTACTGTGTCACCACTACAGTTACTGTTACTAGTACTGTTACTTTGTTACCGTGCCACAAGTACTGTTACTGTGCCACTAGTACTGTTACTGTGTTACTAGTACTGTTACTGTGCCACTAGTACTGTTACTGTGCCAATTAGTACTGTTACTGTGCCACTACTACTGTTACTGTTACTAGTACTGTTACTGTGCCACTAGTACTGTTTCTGTGTTGCTAGTACTGTTACTATGTTACTAGTACTGTTACTGTGCCACTAGTACTGTTACTGTGCCACTAGTACTGTCACTGTGTCACTGGTACTGTTACTGTCACTCAATAGTAAAAGCATTATTATAGTCACAGGTCTAGGGATCTGGGTGTGGGCTCTCAGAAGTGACATTGAGTAATCGTTGTGCTGATTGGTAACCTTTGTATCGTGAAGTGGCCATAGCATATATGGGCAACCACTGTGGAGACACACAACCACTGTGGTGATACACAACCACTGTGGAGACACACAACCACTGTGGTGACACACAACCACTGTGGTGACACACAACCACTGTGATAACACACAACCACTGTGATAACACACAACAACTGTGGTGATACACAACCACTGTGGTGACACACAACCACTGTGGTGACACACAACCACTGTGGTGATACACACCACTGTGGTGATACACAACAACTGTGGTAACACAATCACTGTGGTGACACACAACCACTGTGGTAACACACAACAACTGTGATACACAACCACTGTGGTGACACACAACCACTGTGGTGACACACAACCACTATGATAACACAACTGTGGTGATACACAACCACTGTGGTGACACAACCACTGTGGTGATACACAACCACTGTGATAACACACAACAACTGTGGTGATACACAACCACTGTGGTAACACACAACCACTGTGGTAACACACACACTGTGGTGACACACACAAACAATGTGGTGACACACACTGTGGTAACACACAAACACTGTAGTGACACACAACCACTGTGGTAACACACACACTGTGGTGACACACACACACACACACACACACACACTTTAGTCCATTGTATATTTTCAGCCTTCGGGCTGCAGAATTTTTCAATAAACCGTTAATTATTATTATTATTATTATTATTAGTGACACACAGCCACTGTGGTGACACACACACACTGTGGTGACACACAATCACTGTGGTGAACCACACTCTGGTGACACACACTGTGGTGACACACACTGTGGTGACATCCTCTATTAACTCAGTGTTAAGCTCATTATTGTCATAATAAAGCTCATGATAATCATATACCACAACAAAAAAATGATGTATTGAGTAAAGTATGAGAGGCGTGGCGGCCATAAGGTGAACTGAGGTGAGCGTGTGGGGAGGAGTGCACCAGGCAGTCTCTGATGCATGGTGCACCAATAACCATCATGCAGGTAATTTGGTGCCCTCGTATACTGCACCATTAATAACCATTATGCAGGCACCACTAATAACCATTATGCAATTTGCGCCCCTGCATACCGCACCATTAATAATCATGCAGGTACCTGGTGCTCGTATACGCACCATTAACAACCATCATGCAGACACCAGTACCAACCATTATGCAAGTAATTTTGGTGCCCTCGTATACTGCACCATTAATCATCATACAGGCACCAGTACTAACCATTATGCAAGTAATTTGGTACCCTTGTATACTGCACCATTAATAACCATTATGCAGACACCAGTACTAACCATTATGCAAGTAATTTGGTGCCCTCGTATACTGCACCATTAACAATCATCATGCAGGCACCATTAATGAACTTCCTGCAGGTAACTTGATGTCCTCGTGCCAACCCAGGTGTCGTGTGTAGGTTAGCTAACATGTCTCTCCATTCTAAACGTTTACCATCTGGATTTTATTCCCTAATCCTTCCAAGTTTTTCATCACTACACAAATTTCACTTTCCCCTTGTCCTCTTCCTCTCAATTTCACCAATTAATAACTCCACTATTATCTTCTCATCCCTAAGAATATGGTAAAATTTTCTACTTTTTTCTTATTCTATAAATTTTTAGTACGTTTCTCGTGTGCTCCAGCCAGTCTTGGAATCATTTTTTTTTTTTTTTCGTTGTAACTAAGCTTTCAACATTCTTAGCGCTCTCTTGTAGCACAGTAATTCGAGTCGTCTCTTACCTCCTTCTTATATCTGCTGAAAGTAACCAATCTTGTGACCCGTACAGCAGTAGTGACCATGCACTGTGTTTCTTCAGCTTTATAAACGGAAATATGTGTCGTTTTTTTTCACATTACAGTTTCTTACTTTCCAAATATACAAAAATATTCACGAAGTAGAAGTTCTCTGTCGCCAACCATGAATATCGAGTCAGGAAGAAATTTGACATAGGAAACGTTCATCCTTTCTGTCTTTACAGCGTTAAATCTGAGACCATAATTCTTCGTCAATTGCACTCATATCTTGACCATTTTTTTGTAACGACTCTTCATTATCTGCATCAAGAGCAACAGCATCTTCATACCAAATATTTGATATTACTTAACCATTAATTTTTATTCATTCATAGCAACTTGCAACTTACCTCATTAAATATTCTAAATAGACATTAAGCAGTGTTGGGGATAGCACGCTGCCTTGTCTGACCCTAAGTTCGATACTTACTGACATCCTGCAACCCTCGTATACTGCACCATTAAACACTAGGATGCAGGTAAGTTGGTGACCTCGTATCCTGCACCATTAATAACCATCATACAGGTAACTTGGTGACCTCGTAAACTACACCATTAACGGTTAGGTGCCATCATCATGCACTTAGACTGTCACTCCCTTGCATTACGGATTATTACATGAGCCCTGAAACTGCCTGCTACAAACTTAGAATGTGTTGCTCAGTGATAACACGTCAGGACACGCCCGCCTCACCTGCCTTTATTGTTTACTTTATTCACACAGCAAAACTTTTACAGTCATTTTTATTTTCTTCCGTGTACATCGTCATCATCTTGTTTCTCTTTTGTTTTAATTTTGTTTTGTTTTCATTTGCTTTACGGTACTTATCTCTACCGTACTTATACTTAACGGTGCTCATTTTTCCGGTACTTATACTTTACGGTACTTATACTTTAGGAACTTATTTTCTACGGTACTTATGCTATATGGTACTTATGCTACACGGTAGTTATGATATACGGTACATATACTTTGTTACTTATACTTTACGGTACTTATACTTTACGGTACTTATACTTTGTTACTTATACTTTACGGTACTCATACTTTGTTATTTATACTTTACGGTACTTATGCTTTGCGGGACTTATACTTTACGTCACTTATACTTTACGGTACTTATACTTTACGGTACTTATACTTTGCTACTTATACTTTACGGTACTTATGCTTTACGGTACTTAAACTTGAGGGTACTTATACTTTACAGTCCTTATACTTTGTTACTTATACTTTACGGTACTTATACTCTACGGTACTTATACTTTACGTTACTTATACTTTACGGTACTTATACTTTACGGTACTTATACTTTAAGGCACTTATACTTTACGGTACTTATATTTTACGGTACTTATAATTTACGTCACTTATACTTTACGTCACTTATACTTTACGGTACTTATACTTTACGGTACTTATACTTTGTTACTTATACTTTACTGTACTTATACTTTACGGTACTTATACTTTGTTACTTATATTTTACGGTAGTTATACTTTGTTACTTATACTTTACGGTACTTATACTTTACGACATTTATACTTTACGGTACTTATACTTTGTTACTTATGCTTTACGGTACTTATACTTTACGGTACTTATACTTTACGGTACTTATACTTTACGGTACTTATACTTTACGGTACTTATACTTTACGGTACTTATACTTTAATAATGTAATTGTTATCATATATTTCCTTCCATAACCTTCATAATCAACCTTCTTCCTCCCGATGGTTGGTGAGGTGCTGGTGTTAATGGTGATAGCTGTAGAATGGGGAACTAATTGATGATGGTTAATGAGGTGATAGTTGTGAGGTGATGGTTGTGAGGTGATAGTTGTGAAATGCAGGATTGGTGTGATAATTTGAGGAGAGTAAGAAGTTGGTGGTGATAGTTGTGAGGAGTAAGTTAATTGGTGATAGTTGTGAGTAAAGTTGGTGGTGATAGTTGTGAGGTAAAGTTGGTGGTGATAGTTGTGAGTAAGTTGGTGGTGATAGTTGTGAGGGGAGTAAAGTTGGTGATCTGATCAGTTCTTGGGAGTAAAGTTGGTGGCTGGATTCCCAGGAGGTAAAGTTGGTGATGATGGATTGTGAGATAAAGCTGGTGATGATAGTTGTGAGATGAAATTTGGTGGTGATAGCTGTGAAGACAAGTTGGTGATGATGGCTGTGAGGTAAAGTTGGTGGTGATATAGTTGAAATAAGTTGTTGATGATGGTTAATGAGGTAAGTTGGTGATGATAGTTGTGAAGTAAAGTTAGTGATGATAGTTGTGAGGTAAAGCTGGTGATGATAGTTGAGGTAAAGTTGGTGGTGATAGTTGTAAAGTTGGTGGTGATAGTTGTGATGTGCTGAGGTGTGTTGGTTTGTATTAGTGTTTGTTGGTATCTGCTGGGCTGTGATAATAAATATTGGAATGTTGGTATTTCATAGAATCGGCAGCAGCTTTTATTGATGGGCTGGTACGTATTTAGGCATATGTCCAGAGTGCGTTGTGTCTTGTTGTTGGGAATGCACAGGTGAACGGGGCAGCAGGCACAGATGGAGCAGGGCAGGAGGAGGCACAGGTGAACAGGGCGGAGCACAGGTGAACGGAGTGGGAGACATAGGTGGAGCAGGACGGGAACCTGGAGTGAACAGATGCAAGACACAGGTGGAGCAGATGGGAACCTGGAGTGAACAGGGGCAGGGAGACACAGGTGTGAACGGGCAGGAGACACAGGTGGTAGGAGGAGACTATAGGTGAACGGGGCAGGGAACCTGGAGTGAACGGAGTGGGGAACTACAGGTGAACGGAGTGGAAGACACAGGTAGACGGAGTAGGAGACCTGGAGTGAACGGAGTAGGAACACCTGAGTGAACAGGGCCAGGAGACACTGGTGAACAGGGGCAGGAGCACAGGTGAACAGGGCAGGGAGACACAGATAAGACAGGGCAGGAGGCACAGGTGAACGGAGTGAGGAGACACAGGTGAACAGATGAGGAACCTGAGATGGGGCAGACTGGAGACACAGATTGAACTTGGGCAGGAGGCACAGAGTAGACAGAATTGAGGAGACCTGGGTGAACAGATGGAGACACACAGATTGAACAGGGCAGAGACACAGGTGTGAGACAGAGACAGGAGGCACAGATGAACGGAGTAGAGAACACAGGTGAACGGAGTGGGAGACACAGGTGTGAACGGAGTGGGAGACTGGAGTGAACAGGGCCAGAGACACAGGTGTGAACAGGTGGGAGACCTGGGTGGACAGGTGGGGAGACACAGGTGAACGGAGTAGGAGACACAGGTGAACAGATGGGAGACACAGGTGAACGGGGCCAGAGACACAGGTGGGCTGGGGCCAGGAGGCACAGATGGACAGGTAGAGGCAGGTGGAACGGAGTGGGAGACACAGTTGAACAGAATGAGGCCTGGGTGAACCCAGGTGGGGAGACACAGGTGAACCCGGAGTAGGAGGCCTGGAGTGAGACAGGTGGGAGACACAGTTGAACGGAGTAGAGACACTTGAGTGAACGGGTAGGAGGAACACAGATGAACCAGGCCAGGAGGCACAGGTGAACAGGTGGAGACACAGGTGAACGGAGTGGGAGACCTGAACCTAGACTGAGACAGAGACACAGATGAACAGGGCAGGAGGCACAGACCAGACTGGAGTAGAAGACACAGGTGAACGGAGTAGGAGACACCAGGTGGAGCAGGTAGGAGACACAGTTCAGACAGATGAAGACCTTGAGTGAACGGAGTAGGAGACACAGATTGAACGGAGTAGAGACACAGGTGGACAGATTGGGGAGACCTGGTTGAACAGATGGGAGGCACAGGTGAACGGAGTAGAGACACTTAATTGAACAGATGGGAGACTGGAGTGGACGGGTAGGAGACACAGGTGGGTGGGGCAGGAGGCACAGGTGAACGGAGTAGGAGACACAGGTAGACAGATGGGAGACACCTGGGTGAACAGACACAGGAGGCACAGGTGAACAGGGCAGGAGGCTGGAGTGAGCAGGTGAAGACACAGGTGAGACAGATTAGGAGACACAGGTGAACAGATAGGAGACCTGGTGAACAGGGCAGGAGGCTGGGTTAACGGAGTAGGAGACACAGGTGAACAGATGGAGACACAGGTGAACGGAGTGGGAGACACAGGTGAACAGGGCAGGAGGCAGCACCAGACAGGGCCAGGAGGCACAGGTGAACAGGGCAGGAGGCACAGGTGAACGGAGTGGGAGACCTGGGTGAACAGATGGGAGACACAGGTGAACAGATGGGGAGACACAGGTGAACGGAGTGGAGACCTGGTGAACAGGTAGGAGGCCTGAGTGAACGGGGCAGGAGGCACAGGTGAGACAGGGCAGGAGCACAGGTGAACAGGAGGTGTTGTAGGTAAGGTTAAGGTCCATTATGGTAGTAGAGGTAAGGGTGGAGGCTCCATCATGTGTAGAGGTAAGGGTGGAGCTCCATGTGGTAGTAGAGGTAAGGTTGGAGGCTCCATCATGGTGAAATAGAGGAGATGGGATTGGAGGCTCCATCATGGTAGTAGGAGGTAGGTGGAGGCTCCATCATAGTGATAGAGGCAGAGATTGGAGCTCCATCATGGTAGTAGAGGTAAGGGTGGAGGCTCCATCATGGTATTAGAAGATGAGGTGGAATCCTCCATCATGGTAGTGGGAAATGGGTTGGAAGCTCTGTCATGGTAGTAGATGAAAGGGTGGAGGCTCCATCATGGTAGTAACTTCAGGTAATTTGTTGATCAATGTCCAGTTAGATAAAGGGTTAATTCAGATGCTAAAACACCTGTAATAAGGGTTACATCAGCAGGTAAAGGGTCGTGGAATTGACCAAATAAATGTGGAAAATCGTTGGTCATAATGTTTTGACGGGAAATATAAATTGATGAAAAATGACGTGTTGGCAGGTAGTGGTGACACAATTGACAGCTAGTGGTGACTGAGTAACTGGCTAATTTACCTTTTTGTTGTTGTATTGGTGAGGACTGTCAAGGTGATGCAGGTGTAATGTTGTCAGGGTGATGCAGGTGTAGTGTTATAGAAGTGATGCAGGTGTAGTGTTGTCAGGGGTGATACCCAGGTGTAGTGTTATGAAGGTGATGCAGGTGTAGTATTGTGAGTGTGATGCAGGTGTAATATTGTCAGGGGTGATGCAGGTGTAGCAGAATTGTCGCGGTGTGATGCAGGTGTAGTGTTGTCTGGGTGATACGGGTGTATGGTGTTGTCGGGGTGTGATGCAGGTGTAATATTGTCAGGGTGATGCAGGTGTAGTGTTGTCAGGTGTGATGCAGGTGTAATATTGTCAGGGTGCTGCAGGTGTAGTCTGTTGTGGGGCGTTGGGTGTAATATTGTCAGGGGTGATGCAGGTGTAGTGTTATCGAGGTGATGCAGGTGTAGTGTTGTCAGGGTGATGCAGGTGTAGTGTTGTCAGGGTGATGCGATTGTAGTGTTGTCCAGGGGTGATGCAGGTTTTAGTGTTGTCAGGTTGATGCAGGTGTAATGTTGTCAGGGTGTTAGAACATAGTGGTGTCAGGGTGATGCGGGTGTAGTGTTGTCGGGGGTGATGCAGGTGTAGTGTTGTCAGAGTGATGCAGGTGTAGTGTTGTTAAAAGTAAAAACAAATGATGTATTTGAGTACAAGTCTACGTTTGTGTGTGTGTGTGTATAATAATAATAATAATAATAATAATAATAATAATAATAATAATAATAATAATAATAATAATAATAATAATAATAAACGGTTTATTAATAGAGTTGCAGCTGGTGACTGAAAAATATACAAACTTACATGTAGTTGAACATAATGATATGCGTTGAACATTTACAGGGCTGTACAGTACAACAATAGATGGGATGGTGCTATTCTTATATCTATCAGTGCAGGCTCTTATGGGCTGAATTTTGTTGTAGTAGCGGACTGCGCGTGGTGGGCGAGGACTGCCGGTGTGTGTGTGTGTGTGTGTGTGTTACAGTATTTATATACCACCATAACCTGACATCCGTGTTTCATGTGGTAATAAAGGTGTGCTATACAGGTGAACCAGGTGCCCGCCCTGCTGCTATGTTAACACGGTTACCTGCTGCTCTTGCTCCAGCTCTTCGCTCCCCATCTTGTTAACACTTGATGATTTAATCTTGGCTTGTCTTATACCCTCCAGCCCCAGCAACTTGTGTATACTATATTAACCACTAGTAAACACCTTCCACCTGCGCCCTTTACAATTACTGTGTTTATTGGTGGTGTTGCGTGTGGGGTAAAACTGCTTGGTTCATCTTACACTTAACTTTAGTGGCTAAGGTATTGTCCAAGGGCTACACCTGTGTTATATCTCACGTCTATCTTTACCGAAAACTCATCTACGACTTACTGGTTAAAGAATGTTTATGTCGCAACGGATTCGTGTTCCCCGCTGGGCGTATTTGAGTAAGTTTATGTGATTTTTGCTTATTTATAGATACATTGTGTGTGTGTGAGGAGGTGGGGTGTAGGAGGTGGGGTTTCTGCTCAATGCAACGCCTGCTGCCACCAATAAGACGACGTGCCAGACACCCTCTCTTTCAACACCGTCTTGATCGCTCCACATCCTCCACATTTTCTATTTTTACCAATGCCTTTCTTCTTCCTCTTCTTTGCAGTTACTTGTCAATATTATTAATATCTTTATTTTTCACTGCTTGTGTCATGATCGCACAGTTATTAGCCTTGTTCTAGATCTAGAAACTGCACCTAATCCTTCCTTTCCTCTACGTCTTAGCTTTACTCTTTCTCTGCATGAACTTCCTTCCTGTCCGTCTTTGCATTACTCTCCCACATACGTGTAGCAACAGATACTTATAAACAATCACTCAGATTTGACACTAGTCCCAAAACTTCAGGTATGCATATTAACCTTAGTCACTTATTACGGAAAACCCACACGTTATCCACCTGAGAGCTTCGCCCTGACTGCCAGATTTCCCCCACATTTTTTTCAATAATTCTGAATCGCAGTATATTATAAATACTGATAATTCACATAGTAGGATGCTAGGGAACAACGTATCACATACTCGTAGTTTGGAAAACATTTGAATTGGCCAAACAAATTCAAAAGATTCTTTAGGAACACGTGGGTGTAAATCGCAATATTATGACCAATTCCAACATCACGTATGAAATGTTCAGTAAAATTCGAAGCTCTTACTCGAACACCAAGCAGAAAAGAATCCGAAGCACTCGTCTGTCTAGGGTAGTTTTCAATACAACTACTGTATATACCGTAATGTACATTCGAAAATTCCATTATGTGACGGTCCTTCCCCTCATCTGATTTGGCTTTTTGATGTTTGTTATGTTTCTTAGTTTAATGTATGTCCCCAGTGTTAGTAATCTTACAGTCTTGTGAATGTATTGAACAAAATATTATATACGCCTCACGTCTTCAATGATGAAAGATGGTAACCATTTTATATTTGAAGCAAATGATTTCGGAATACAGATCAGAAGGTCTAGCCATTTACATAAATTTTGTATCCAATTATGCTTTTACATCATTTATCGTCTCCACAACGAATGCCATAGTGCTGCATAGTGCTGAGCGTCGAAGCTAAAGCTATAACCTGTGCACCCTTTGTAACAGTGCGCCACATTTCATTTCCTGTGACTAAGGTTTGAGTTTTTGGCTGTACTGTTGACTGACTCCATATTTGTCCTGTTGGAGGGCCGGTTGAGCCATAGGGATCAATTCGTGTGATTTTTGCTTTCTGGCTCTGGCTGAGTTTTATGGATACTCGAAGTTTCATCACCTGTTTCCAAGTTTGTTAATGCAGACTTCTCTCCTCTGTCACATAGGATACGGTAAAAAGGCTTAATGTAGAAACGGTTTCGCATATTGGAATCCGTCTCATATATGATCCTTGACGGGTCTGGACGAAGTCTTGGGAATTTATTACTGTGCTTCACTGTTCTTTCAGCTGGAGATGTTCTTTGTTGTTGCCGCTTATACAGGTGGTGGTGAACTCCCAAGTACAGTTCTGATGATACATCTCTTTTAAGTGTGTCTTCTGTACCTCCACCTTCGACTCTGGCTGAATTCAGCATGAAAGAGGACACTTGTTACGATGATGTTATTCACTGCAGCAATTTAGTGCTGTCCTGAAATCTACTTCCTTGTCTTGCTGACAAAGGCGACAGTTCTGTCAGTCTGCCATCACATGAAGATTGGTCAAGAGTAACCATTTTCAAAGGTTGAAAATCACTGGATCAAGGCCGAGAGATAATTATTTGACCACATTTCACCATGAAATACGGTCCTTTAACCAGCTTCAGTTAAGTTCCTGGCGACCTGTACACCATCCTGGTAACTAAAGCCTCGTCATCCTTGCCCGGCTTTTTACACTGGCACATCCTATCGATTCAGGTGACTACCTGCCTGTATGGTACTTAGTCGGGAGACACTAGCGTGCAGCTACACGTGAAGCACAAGTAAACTAGATGACACTGAATTTCTTGCTGCGTTGCACAACAGTGATGTCACTAGTGTCTCTTGGTGCTGCTCTAATATTTAATATTCTTCATAGGACATACCTGTAACTCCTGATTTGATGAGCAGTTTAATGACCATCTATTGTAAGTAATAATTTTTCCCACTAACTTCTTGTGTTTTATCTTGGAGCTAAATATGCTCATCATATATATAGAGAGAGACATCTACATGGTATCCTCACTTAGTTTAACGCGTGTGCCAAGGCGGGTAGTATGGTTCTGTGCCAAGGATGTGGCTGATTGCTGAGGCGGAAGTACTACTTCTTACTACTACTACACCACAACACTTGGCAGTGTGTACAGTATAACTGTGCCAAGTGACAACACCTATTTTCATCACAACTTTCATGAATTAATAAAAAAAAAGCACCTGAAAGGTTGTAAATGTTGTAGTCTGAGTTCTTCCATTCTTATCGCCAACTCTGTTAAAATTCACACTGAAATTATTTATTGACAGAGATCATTGACGACTATCACAAAATAAAAATGGTCGCGATTTGGATTTTCAAAGATTAACTTTTTTTTTTCTTGACGCACCAATGTGAATATTACCAGCAAGTTCAGTGTTGGTCTCGCCATTTGAAGTATTCCGCTCAAAATTACAATGAACCTGTACCACTACCCAACACTTCTTCCTTCTCCCTCCTCATCCTCCCCATCTAGTGTAAGTTTAGTCACGTGACGCTAACTCCTGAGTTACAGTAATTTACATTACCTTAGAATCTATATTTATATATTTCATAGTTGTTAAGATATATTTGCAGTTGTTACTGTCAAGAGAAACAGCATCGTCCACACTGATGGTGGACATCAGTTACTAGTGTTCAGTATTACATTCGGTTTGTCACATCGTAACCAACATCGGGTGAAGTGATTAACCGAATGGTAATGTGGCGCGCCCTCCACCACCACAATATATTGACATAGTCAACACACAGTCAACATACAGTAACAGTTAATGACCGTGACCAGGTGACGCCTCGCTCTGGCTGGGCTCTTCAAACTATACCTATCAGGGCTAACTAAGAATGTTCCTGTACCACTGTTAAGGTACCTGTGTTGTTGTGTGTACCTGTGTTGTTGTGTGTACCTGTGTTGTTGTGTGTACCTGTGTTGTTGTTGTTGTGTGTACCTGTGTTATTGCTCATATGCCTGTGTCACTCACCCTACACGCCACCACCAGTACACTCACCCTACACCCCACCAGCCTAACACTCACCCTACTCTCGCCATCACCAGTACACTCACCCCACACCCCCCACCCACCAGTACACTCCACCCCACACCCCACCCCAACACCACCCCACACGCCACCAGCCCAACACCCCACACGCCACCACCAGCACACTCCACCCCACACCCCACCAGCCCAACACTCACCCTACACCCCACCACCAGTACACTCACCCCACACCCCACCCCTAACACTCACCCTACACGCCACCAGCCTAACACCACCCCACACCCCACCAGCCTAACACTCACCCTACACGCCACCGGCCTAACACTCACCCGGCTGGCCCCACCACCAGTACTCACCCTACACGCCACCAGCCTAACACTCACCCACACCCCACCACCGGTACACTTCACCCCACACGCCACCAGCCTAACACTCTACCCCACACCATAACCTCCCCCACCACCAGTACACTCACCCTACACCCCACCTAACCCTACACACCAAGCCTAACACTCACCTACACCCCACCAGCCTAACTCCAGCCATTCCTCACCCTACACCCCACCAGCCTAACACTCACCCCTACACCCCACCACAGTACACTCACCCTACACGCCACCAGCCTAACTCACCCACCCCACCACCAGTACACTCACCCCTACACCCCACCACAGTACACTCACCCCTACCCCTTAACACCTCACCTACACCCCACCAGCTAACACTCACCTACACCCACCAGCCCTAACACTCACACACCCCTACACGCCAACACTCACCCCTACACCCCACCAGCCTAACACTCCCCTCACACCAGCCTAACACTCACCCCTACACCCCACCAGTACACTCACCATACACCTAGTACACTCACCCCTACACCCCACCACCAGTACACCTCACCCCACACCCCACCACCAGTACACTCACCCTACACCCCACCAGCCTAACACTCACCCTACACCCCCCCCTAACACTCACCCTACACCACCAATTACACTCACCCTACACCCCACACACCCACCACCAGTACACTCACCACCCCACCACCAGTACACTCACCCACCATCACCCTACACTCCACCATAGTACACTCACCCTACCCCAACAGCAACACCACCATAATATAGTATGAGAATGGGTCCTGCAGGCATGACTGCCCATTAAGAACAATGTGGACGCAACACAATATACTAAGCCTTCGGCACACAAGGAGGCAGCATAGTCGATACTGCACTTGACCGTCTTCACTATCTGGAGGAACAGGGAATGATCCCCAGGAGCGAACGAGCTACACGAAGGACAGGAGGTACCCCTCTATCCACTCAGCCACGGCATGCCTGTATAATATTCTTTAACGTTAGCAGCTCCTGTTTCTGATCGTCATGGGACAGATTGTGGGA